TATATATATATATATATATATATATATATATATAATATTTTTAGAGTAATCGAAAAAACAAAGCAACTTGAAAATTGCAGAAACGTGGAAGCAGAAAGAAACAATATATCAGAAAAACGAATAGTTGCTAAATATTATAGTTTACATGAAAAAATCATACCTCAATTTTTTTGTAAGGGACTGATTTGACTCTCTTTACTTCAACAGGCAGCGAGCGATCTAAACCGAAACAAACTTCTTGCTTTTTGTATAATTCGTCAACAGCTGAAAAATTCAACATTGTTGAAGAAATTAGTTTTGAAAATAATTAATGCATAAAAAACTTTAAGTTTACCAGTAATGGTAAGAAAACCCTTGAAAATAAGTCAGTGATTTTTTTAAATAAACATTTATACAATTCCAAACGTATGACAGAAACCACTTAGAGCTGAAAATTTTATTTTGGGGTGTCTGTACATGAATTTCCTAATTAAAACCAGCCTCAGAACATTTCAACAAATTGGTAAACTAATAATTACCTTTAAAAACACGTAATCTAGAAATAAACCACCCGCGCCAAGAAAGTTTAGTAAAAACCGCAAATAGAAGCTTTTTCAATACTGACAATTAATTAAACTAGTCTAGCGGCTTTGTTTCAGTTTCAGGAAATTCAAAGATAGATTAAATCTGTAAAAAACCAAAATAAAAAGTCATTTGTCTTTTAAAACTTTCTTTAGCGAAAGAAAAAATAGTTGGTGAGACCTGAATAAATGTTTCCACACTTCTTTAGCGTTTTCCAAATAAAACAAGAGAATGACTTTGGCATCGGCACGAGGTGCTTATAGGAAACAACAGCATAATTTGGCACTTCAAGTCCCTCAATCCATCGTATCAGCACGTATCCAGGCTTAAAAAAAATCAGTTTTTGCAAAAGCCAACCTAAGAGCTCTGCATTACTGAGTGAAAAGAAGGCAGCTTATCTTGATTTATGTGAAATAATAACAGAACCTCTTCTAATTTCTCAACCAAATCGGATTTCCGCAACAAGGATGAAGGAATTTGATCGGCATGAAGAGATTTTGCAGGATATAGTCTAAACTTACAAAATTTACCAAACTCAAACAACCACAAACACCAACTCTTCATATAATTTGGCCCTAACGGAGGAGTAAATGAGGGTTGGAGCAAGAAACCTACCCAGATACTAGAAGAAAAGAAAAATAAAAAAAACGATTTTAAAAAAATACCTTCAAAGTTCAACTTCGAGAACTTCGTTTTTTCCAAGAAAAAATAAGAAAAAACACCAGGAAAACAAAAGTCACAGGTTTAGAGCTTACTTCTGGCTAGGATAATTATAAGGCTCTCAAATAAAAAGAAAACCGGACACTAGTCATTCTAACTTTTGTTGAGAGTTCTTTTCGCCGACACTCACCAGCCAGCAAAGAGACCAAGCAAAACTGTATTTCTAAACTTTCGTTTCTGAGTCCGGTTTGCTACCTTAATCAGCTCTTACAGAAAATTTCAAAAAGTTGCCAAATTACTTTCTTCCTGAGAGAGCAAGCACATAATCTCCAATCCTTGGGTGGTCAACGCATATACAAAAGCCACAAACGAATCTATCTTCACTACTGTTATGAGTCCTTCTTAGTTTTTTCTTTTTTATATCTTTTGCCCAACACTCTTCGCAAAAAGACCGTATACACGAATCACATTTTATTTTATTCTCCACTGAAAATTTAAAAACATTATAACAAGGTAAAGAAGGAAGACTGGCGATATGGCTAAAAAGTATTGATGTGGTACAAATTTCGAAAACAAGTAAGAGGAATTAAGAATAGTAACTGAAAGGAAACGCACTTAATTTCTTATCACAAACAACGCAATACGGCATATTAAATCTTGATTTTTTCTCCAAGTCACTATGACGAGGGCAGAGAACACACTTATCCTGAAAGCGGTTCACGTGGTGAGAGCCCACTGGTACACAGGAGCGGTGCCACGCAAAAATGCATTCCACACAACTTATAACTGCACCTCAAATGGGTAATTTTTAAACTTTGAATGAGCATCATACTTCTAAAGACGTAAGGACAAAAAACAACGCTGGAAGGAACTCAAAGTTACCTAGCTGTGACCTTGTGCGTAATAGCTCTTGGTGGCAAGCATTACACTCGTGCTGAGGACAAATCCACTTTTTGCCTTGAATAATCGGATCAAAACATGGTTCTCCAAACGCATCAAGAACGTGCATACTCGGTAAAAAATCACCTGAAAGTTATAATTGAAAAAGAACAAAGCCGTAAACACAAATTACCGACGAGAAAGCGAGTGAAACGTTGCTTTACGGTGATATGACCAGTGTAAATGCTGTAAATTAGACCGTCAAAAAAGGACAACAAAAACCGGCAAGATAAGCTATTTTTTTATTGTCCTTTTTTGACGGTCTAAGTTACAGCATTTACATATGTTCAACCTAAGAATTCAAGAAAGGACACTAAAAAAGAAAGAAATTTATACCTTCAGAGAAATTGAGGTAACATCGGTCGTGAAACAGAACAGGACATTGAGGATAACTACATTTCCTTAAGCCACTCGCTCCTTTGCCACTAACTTTAAGCTTGCTCTTAGGTGTTGCATTTCGTATAAAGCGTGCACTTTTTTGGTGGCACACGAAACATTCATCCCGAGCCCATTCTTTAAAACACAATTTCAAAACAAATTTACGAATGAACAGTAAAAACACTTGGTAAAAACAACAGTTTGACATAACTAAAATGGGTAGAAAGAAATAAAGAACGGAAGAAAACGAAGAGAAATTTGTTTCAAAAATGACCATAGACAGTCATTTTCTTGAGCCATTCACTCTACCTTCTCTAAAAAACCCTAATAACAAATAAACAACGTAAAACACCCTACATTTTTTAAATTATAAATTTTTATTGAAAATCTCCTTTAAAAAGTTAAAAATTAGTTCTCAATATCAACAAATGAGATGTATATTTCCAGAGCTAAGAAGTCTTGAAAGTGGTCTACCAAGAAAAAAAGCAAAGAAATAAAAAAGTTATGAAAAGTAGATATATAAAAAATTACTAACCCCAATTACGCTTTCTAAAATGGTTAGTGACTTCATCGTCATCAGAGTCTTCGTGATCCGCACCTAAAATCGCGGTAAAACTATAGTAGCCAGCAGTTTGTAAAGGGAAAGAAGGTAACGAATAAACAAAAAAAAATATATATGAAATAAGATTCACTAACTTTCGGAGTTCAAGTTTCAAAATGCTATGAGAAACCTTAGAAAATATGGTTTTGAAATTCACTTAAGTGATTACTAGAATAGACTCAAAATCAATAAAAGTTTCGCGAGATCATAAAAGTTACTTGAGAAACTGGTATTAGCGAAAATCTCAGTCATCCAGGATGTTTATCTGTACAAAGCGGATCATAAATGCTACTGTGGCCTGAAATAAACAACTTCCAATCTCCAAAATAGTATGAACCTTACTTACACTTTAAACATGTTGCTTAAAACATACTGTTCACCTGTCTAGTGGTAAAAGCAACAATATTGAAATGCATCATAAAAAAAAGAATAATTTACAATGAATAAAGGCAGTCATAAAATCGTGAGATTATTCAGAACCTCATTAAAGCAACTGAGACAATCGATCTTTTGCGACCGACGAGAAATTAGTATTTGTAAAAAGAAGCATGACGTACACAAAAACGCTTAACAAATAAACCTTCGCAGCAAAAAAACCATTGACTTAAAAAAGAATTCTACCCTGAAGACTAAACAAGTCCTTCTAGACGCAAATTCGTGAAATGTGGTCTCAGTGAACAAAAAACAAATTCCACAAAATTAAAAGCTGCTGTAGTCCACAGAGTCCTTCTACCTATTTCAGCTAAGATCTGGATAAGTATGTAAAAGCATTTTTTCTGACCCAAAAATACGTTCAATGTTACAAAAACAGAACTTGTGACAAAATCACAAGCAGTCTGCTATTAAGGAGCATGACCAAAACGCACTTTCATACAAATCTTATGCTTAAAAAATCAATGTTCTAAAAGTGAGCATAAAGCAATTAAAAATCAAGGTCCATTTGAATGGCAAAAAAAAAGGCGTGAAATGCATCTAAAAGAGGAAACCGTAAGTGGTACAGACATAGAACTGTAATCACTATCACTTAACAGTCGCAAGTAGAAATATCAAACAACTCTGTGTGACTTCTATAACTTATAGAACTTTACTCAAAGCAGTAGATAACATTTCAGAGAGGCACTCATTCAAAAAAGATCCAAGTTGGCAGAGCGGCTAGTTGCATTCCAGAAAACGCTATTCACACGTGGCCATGAAAAAATACAGAGAAAATTGCCGATTGCTTCATTCGCTGTAAATCGAAAAATTATTAACAAAAGTTCAAATCACTTTACTGAGGAATCGACAGCCAGCTAAATACGGCGCATTAGTGTGTTCCAAACATTTCCTGGCCGTACTGTCTTCTGAAGCTTATATTTTTCCAGCACGAAGTGTGCGAATAAGCATTTTACTCACCGACTTGGTTCTTGAGACAAATTTCATATAAAACGTTAATAATGTAGTGTACAGAGGCTAAACTAAGACTTTTAATATTCGCCTTCCATATGCTAATTGTAATTTACTGAAACTCTAGGTCATTTCCAACAAAGAAGTATGATAACTACAATAATTTGGTCGGGAATTTATTGAGCAAAACCGTTTCTATTTAATCTCATCAATCTTTTGCGTCCTAATAAATTCCAATGCTTTCTTTCTTTCAAATCTGAATCATAGTAAGCCAATAAATAATCAAACTAAACTACCAGTGTCAACGATGTGGTCCTTATACAGAAGATAGGCACAGCCTGCTGCAAACTATGAAGAAAGGATGCTTTAATACAGAATCCGTATGCCATGCAAAAATTGGCGCAGTCTGAGGTTTGCCGAATGCTTCTTGATAAAACCCTAGCTCAAACAGTGCAGCGCTCGGACGTGGTTGTAAATCTCACTGCAAACAGGACACCGTAGTAAACCTAAGCTCATTCTCAAACCAATATTCACCTAAAGTAAGCTCTGCCTGACCTGAAAACCAAGCCAAATCTGACTTTTTATACCTTTCAATAAACCATTTATTTGACGCCGTTGCTTGTAGTAGGGAAATAATAACGGTCAAAATGTAGCGCTTGAGCGTTGAAATAGACATTACACAGCGGGATGACAGGATAATGAAAATCGGTTGATTTATCCCAAACATTTGGCCAACCTTAATTGGTCTTCAGAATTATTGAAGCTTTTAGGTGAAAAGAAAAAGTGATTTCTGCTTTCAACAGATTCATTCACAACTTTTCACTCTTGGTTTGAACATCAGTAACGAATAATAGCAATAGGGAATACTCATAAACATAAAGTTCCGCATTAATGTTTCTGAAGACCATAAGAAACCTAATTTTCCAACACCAGCAAAAAAGTAAACTTTACTCACTTTTGAAACAGATAACATTTACCGAGTAAATAAAAAATACCGTGTACTTTCGCCACTGTACGTGTATATTACAAATGTCGATCCTACCGAATCCTAATTATGAGTTTCCATTCTCCACATAGTATTAAGAAAAAAAAAATTAAAAAAAAAAAAAATAAAAAATAAAAATGAAATTATGAAAGAATACCATTGAGAAATTCTAAAATGTTTCGTTTCAAAACACCCTCTACACTTAAACGACTAAGTATAGGAATGTGATAATTTAAAAATTGTCCATCCCGCTGGAAAACAAATAAATTGTCAACATCTGAAAAAAAAACCTTCAAATAAACCCTAAGAATCTTCAAATTTCTAAGAGTACAGACCCTTTATCAAGTTAGAAAAAAAAGAAATAAAAAAATTTTAACTTCGGTGCCCAGCATCAACTCTTCAAAATAACTTGTGAAGCACGAAACCAAATTAGCACCTTCAACAAACTGGCTAATAAATTTCAATAAGCGAAAACCAATTTGTTGGTTTTTCCGAGAAAAAATCTGTTGTATTAGGTTTCTTTTCTTTTTTTCTTTCTTTTGCTTTAATGACGACATAGAACTAATGAAATAATAAATTTCTAAAACCAAAAAAAGCTGTGAAAGACATTTTTTGAAGTCTTATGCGCCTGTTGATTGGTAATTGATCACAGTATCAAGAAAAAATAAGATACCGTCTAACCAGTTAAGTGCAGTTTACTGTATTGGACAGTTGCCAGGATAAAGCGGAATACACCAATAGTTCACAAGAAATGCTACTTATAGTCTACTCTACGATTATTATTATTATTTACTACATGTATTTATTTACCGCTGCTCACCCTTCGCAAATGGACGGTGACTACAATCTTGTCACTTCTATAGGGGCAACAATAGTGCGATTAAAAGGAAAACTACAAGGAACGAACGATGCTAAAATAATTAACTACGGTAAAAGAATATTTGGAATGATAGAAGGCTCAGCGAAATGGTAAAACATGCTCGTTCCCAGCAAACATTCCATTCATAGGTTTTAACAGTAATTTACCAAGTGAAGAATGATGAAATCTAAAGACCAGAATTCCAAAACAAATTCAATCAGAGATAGGACTTAGTACACGAATACCAATTGTCCAGTACACTTCAAGAAAATCCAAAATTTAAAAACCAACTAAGAGCAGATTTTGAATACTTTGATCTCAAATAAAATGATTTAATACATTCATTGAACTGGTAGATTCTTTCAATTTTTTTCTGGAATTTGATAGTACAAACTTCATCTAAAACAGATTCTTTGGAAGCGACAGCGATGTTCGGTAACAAATTTTGAGTGAAGTAAAGGAATAAATCTTTTATCTTTAGGTAAACAGCACCTGTTTCAACCAATACTTCCAATGCAGTTTCATCCAAATAAATCAGTAAAAATTGAAAAAAAAATTCTTTCTATCTAATATGTAGAAAATAAATCGTATCAAAAAAAATGGGTGAAACTGTTGGAAGAATTTAGACTGTAGACGACCCTAAATATTTTAACTGATATTCATCCAGTTTGCATTACATGTTACCACTTAATGAAGGAACCAGTTAGAAAATTTCAATCAGATAACAAAATTGTATTGATAGCAAGATTATATAATGTTCTCGCTGTTTTTACTGTTATATCATCTGAAAAAAATCGTTTACTTGTAATTTATTACAATTTTTATCGTTTAGAGAGATTTGTTTGCTTGCTTTGTAGACCTGACTACTTTGGAACAAAGTAACAGAACTGTTTGCACAGCAGTAAGCATATATGTTGGAAAAAAAAAAACCAGAAGCACTGATATATGTCACAAACAAAGCAAAAACTTTTGATTAGTATTTGCTTGCAATCTAATAGTCACAAAAAACTACAAATCAATAACTGTAAAAAAAAAAAAAAAAAAAAA